TATATATAGTAAGAAAATATATTTATTCATTAATCTTCTATATCGCTTAGTGGGTCACGGGGGACCTGGTGCCTACCTCCAGCAGTCTACGGGCGAGAGGCAGGGTACACCCTGGACAGGTCGCCAATCTATCACAGGGCAACACAGAGACATACAGGACAAACAACCATGCACACACTCATTCACACCTAAGGGCAATTTAGAAAGACCAATTTACCTAACAGTCATGTTTTTTTGGACTGTGGGAGGAAGCCAGAGTACCCAGTGAAAACCCACGCATGTACAGGGAGAACATGCAAAATTCATGTAGAAAGACCCCTGGCCAGGAGTCGAACCCAGGACCTACTTCTTCTTCTTGATGCAAGGCACCAGTGCTACCAACTGCACCACCATACAGCTAGAAAAAAAAATGTATATCTAATTGCAAATATTCTTAGGAAATTTAGGAAAGTTTTTTCAGAATTATATCAATTTACACGCAGCTTGAAACTGGTGTTCAGTCTTTCTCTCGGAGCACTATAATCTGGCACCATTATTTCAACTTGGAGACAGAGGGTTGATGTCAACTATGTCAGGATGGAGATTTAAAGTAAATCTCTGGGATTTCTGAGGAAAAGGGCCAGATGGGCTGAGTTACTGGTCTAGTGAGGTTTGCTGGCGTGTGGAGAACTGCAGTCTGCCTTCTGTGAGCAGTTTGCATGTTTATGCTCGAATTTCTTTAAAATAAAAATACCAGTAATATTTTTGACATGACAGTCCTTATGTTGATATATTAATAGCCTCTGTAGTCTTATCCCTGTCACTTCAGATGTACTTCAGCTGAGTGGAGGCCGTGGATGTTTTTCTGCTTTGTCATCATTGTGTTCACACATCCACCAACAGACAGCATGACACACTTGCCCCTATTCTTAACTATGACGGAGAAACCCAAACAGCACATCCCACACAGCTATACATATAATCAGTCGGAGGGCTGAGGTGGCCTCCTGACAGCAGACATTACTCTTATTAATAAGCCTTGTCAAAGGGGAACACGCTGCACATCCATCAGCCAATAACAAAAGTCTCTTTTTCCAACGTCTCAACAGCAGTTGTCACACCAAGGCAAAATGAACAGGCTTTCAATGAGTGAAGTATCTGTCACTTACTGTTTAGAGGTACGTTGATTTTCAGGTCAAAGGACGTCCAGTGAAAAAAAAAAAAGTAATATATTCAAATGGTAAAGGCTGTTTACAAACCCTTTGTCATGTTTGTCTTTTTATGTCAATTATCTGTCCTTTAAGATAACATTAAATCAGTCATTTTAAGATAAATTTTTCTGCCGGGGGAATATAAATCTTGCAATCTATTATAAGATGTCAAAAGAGGGCTGTGAAAAGTGTTTTCCCCCTTAGAGATTTTGCCTGTTTTTGCTTGTTGTTTTTTTTTTTTTTTTGCTACACCTGTATATTTTAGATTAAAGTAATTTTTGGAATAAATACAAAATGCATTTTTGATGTGATGACTTCACTTATTACGGCAAAAGAATATTCAACCCAACCAGCCCCTATGTGAAAACATAATTACCCCCTTTGTTAAATTATGAATCAACTGTGATTAACTACATGTTTGCTTCAGCTTCATCAGCCTAACTTGCAGAATCAAGAAATGACTTCATTACTGTCTCACAATATGATTAAAAGATCTCAAAAAGCAACACATCATAAATAAATAAATACATTTAAGAGCAGAGGAGTAATAAAGTAACTACCATATCTTTCCAGAATAGGTTGCAAAGCTAACATTAAGGGACTCCAGCGAAATACGATGAGAGCCATTATTCACAAATAGAGAAAATGTAGCAACTGTTTCAGCAGTGGCTGCCCGATCAAAATTGCTCCAAAAGTGCATTGCAGGTCATTCAGGAGGTCACAAAAGAACGCAGAACAACATCTTAAGAACTGCAGGCCTCACTTTCCCCAGTTAAGGTCAGAGTTCATGATTCAACAATAAGAAAGAGACTGGGCAAAATAACAGGTCAGAGGTTCTGGACAAATAGGACTGCAGTGTCCTGACACTTCGACATGTATCGGGGGACGCTGAAATCAACATCAAGACTTTCCTACTGACAAAAAACAGCTCTATCCCCAGAACCGAAAACACCACAAGACCTTAATATATGATGGGAGCACAACAAATAAAAGTCATTGTGTTGATGCCACACAGTAATCTAGCGAGGATGCAGCACTGAGAAGGACCCATGCAATGTCATGTCAAAGCAACATCACAAGACACAAACCAAAAACACTACAGACCCAGTTAATTGAGAAAATGGGTAATTTGCCCCCAAAACCCCCCAAACCTGAGAAATAGAAAAGCAACTAGCATCAATAGACAGAGTGTCTTCTGGGGAACAAAGTGATCTTGGCTGGATGTAGTTGAAGCTGAGGCTTAAATGCAAGGCAGGAGTGCTTATTAACAAATCAGAACAAGATGTGCAGATGGAGCAGATGGCAAGAGGATGGGGAACCATCCACAGGAGCAAAGCAAAGAGAAAGCAAGAAATCAAAGGACAAAGTCAAGCCCAACTAAAGAACCTGTCGACCATGAAAGGCCCAAATGTTTTCTAATCAATCGGTTATTTCAACCAGTAGGAAAAGTAGTTTAAATCTAACTGTATATTTTGATTTTTGGGGGCACTAAAAAAACAGACAAAGAGGCACAGAGAGAGACATCCAATGTAAACAATGTCAGAGCGGTGGAGAACATTTGCAGATTTTGTAAAAACAACTACAGAGAAAATACACATTTCATGCATTATCATTTGCTCCTATTTACTTCACAAAAACAAGTTGGTTTTAGTCTTACTTTTTAATTGTCCGAAGGGGGAAATATTGTCTTTTGAAAGTAGTCAACCCCCTGCTAGCAAATCTGCCTCCAACACTACAAGGAAAGCAGACCCACCATAAAGTTTGCCTAAGTTTCCATCTATCTATCTATCTATCTATCTATCTATCTATCTATCTATCTATCTATCTATCTATCTATCTATCTATCTATCTATCTATCTATCTATCTATCTATCTATCTATCTATCTATCTATCTATCTATCCATCCATCCATCCATCCATCCATCCATCCATCCATCCACACTGACTTTTTCTATGCCCTTCCTGCTCCTGAATGGCTGGGGTCAGAAAAGTGTAAAGGATTATGTATATTTTTTCTCCTGAAGGAAGGCTGTTTTCAATCATTCCTTGTCATGTCCAACAGATGCAGTCAAACACAAAGCATGCTTGGGACACTCATGCTCCTCAGCACTTCTATTCCTGGACTGTGGTACTCCCAAACCTTGTAAATGTGTCTTGACTTGATACATGTTCTCTGAATCCTGACAACTGGTATTTAAAAATATATCAAGTTGCCAACATCCTTTTTCAGACACCCTTCGGATGGGAATTGATGGGGATTACATTTTCCCAGAAAACATTAACTGTTCACATATTTCATCCAAGATTTAGTCAGAACAGGAAAGTGGCAAATAGTATTGTCTCCTCAGAAGAAAACATTGATAATTATGCTAATGTCCTATTTGCTCAAACATGCTTGAGTGACTGGATCTATACATGCATTTATCTAAAAGTTGAACCTGCTGAATATTGCATCCCCAGATGTTGATTTGAAACACTGAATAATTGCTTTCTGGATCTTTCTCACAAAGTAAACCCACCAGATTCATGTATATAAACAGCACCTTGGCTCAAAAAATGAATAATTTATGAGTATCTTTGCTTTTATTCACCATCGCCAGCTTCACATTGCTTAAGACATTTTGGCTTCCTCACTGCTCTTTACTCTAATGGAGGTGATAACCAGCAAGCACCATCCTAATAATAGTTATCAGTCTGACAGGTGGCCAGCTAATGGGAGCTTCATCCCTTGTATGGGTACATGGCTGACCTTACATGTTTAAACCTACATGGCAGAGGCAATTATAGCCTTGTCATAATATTAACTTGAGTATTTAAATAAGCATTTATCAGCCACAAGTACACTTTAAGAGTTTAAGAGGACAGGGGCATGACACCTTAAATAAGCATGCTAACATGCGTCAGTAAGCTGTCTTTGAACTCACAACTGACAAAATTGATTTTCACTGGATAATCATGCAAATGCAATGAATAGATGTAAAATATAATATGATATAATAAGAAAATGTTTAAGGGGCCCATTTCTCCCAGTAGGATGATAACGGGAGGTAAAAAGAGTCTAAAGCTCAATGTTGGAAAAGTCCAGTAAAATTGTCTGTATCATCAGGGTGTAAATAAAAGACGAATTTATTTTATATAGCCATACCAGGTGTGCTGCTAACTGTGGAGGATGCTGTAAACCGACAGATTTTAATGTAAGACAAGTGAATAAAACATAAATGTGTTTTCTCACATGAGGAAAAAATGTCATAAACCTCATGATGTCAACACTTTGGCCACCAGAGGATTTCATCCATGGTCCCAACTTTGAGTGTTTCCTGGTCTGATGGCTTCAAATGGACACAAGCCTGCAGCTGAATTGTTCAATAATACAGGCAGGCCTTTGAGAAATAGCTGGTTTGGGGTACCAAAATCCTGGAAATTAAAGAAACTGTGAGATTTTCTTCAGGACTGTAAAAATGTATGCTTTTCTACCCCTGAGAAGGTACTAGGAATCTGTAATTTCTCTCTAATTGATTTCATCAATCAGCAGCAGCGAGCTCCAATCGCTCACACTGGTTTAACAATCTCTGTTGAGCTTTGAAGGGGCACCCTGTTATGCTTACTTCTGAGAATCTCTAGAAATATTCTGATACACCTAATTCTCAATATTGACTGGCTTCACATAATCATAAGGTTCTTTAACTGTAGTTAATAATCCATCAGGGCCTCAAAGCCATTTCAGCTCCACGCATGCTGGGTTGTTAACCATAAATACAGTATGTCTCTCAGGAAACTCAAGCTGCAGACAAGTAATAGTAATATACAGCGCCTTGTAAAAGTATTCACACCCATTAAACTTTTTTAAAGTTCATGGTCATGTTAGAACAACAAAATTCAATGTATTTTATTGGGATTTTATGTCATAGACCAACACAAAGTGGTGCATAATTATGGAGAAAATGAGAAATGATACATAGTTTTCATCTTTTTCTTTCTCGTTTTTGTGAATAAATACAGTGTGATGTGCATTTGTATTCAACTCATCAGAAAAAATACTTTGTAGAACCACCTTTCACTACAAATTAATCTCCGCCGAAGACTGACAGTTTTTACCAATTCTTCTTCACAAAACTGCTTAAGCTCAAATTGAAAAGAGAGCATCTTTGAGCAACAGTTTTAAAGTCTCACCACAAATTCTCAATTGGAAATAGGTCTGGACTTTG